CAAAAGCTAGAGGTTTAACCCTTTCACAGCTGCTGCTCAGCCAAAAGCTTCTGCTAGTTTGGCAGCAGCTGTAACATGTTAAAACTCTAGCTCTTGGCTCAGTAGCAGACTCTGCCTGTCTTCCAGCTTGAGAGAGAGCCAGTCCCTGGCAGCCATTCCAGTAGCTCCATGCCTCCATTCTGGGACAGAAATCAGCTTCCTTGCATAAAACACACCTGTTTTGGAGGGGTAATTTTTAGGGAAAAGATGCATTTGAATGTGAGTAATATACCACTTTTGTCCAGCCACGCTGCTGTGTGGTACCCATTGAAAGCTTCCTCTGTCAATCTGGAAGCCTCCCAATTTTTCCTACTGATCTTGCATTGCCCTTTTGGCCAGTTACCTTCTTAAGAAAAGATAGAGCCATGTTTCCCATGTGTTACCTCTTTGCTACAGGTCCAGTGAAAAATATTTTTAACTGCTTGGGGCCAGCTCTACATTGCAGTCACAATGCATGTGTTAACTTCACTTCAAGGTAGAATTGGGCCTTGAGGTATGAAATGTTTTTTTGAAACTGTGATTATTTATTAATGTATTTGATAATGCAACACCCTCAGTGTTTTCTAATATCCCACTTCAAGCTCTGTTCAACCTTTGCATCAAGCTGGAGTGAAATCTGCTGCTGATGCCCAATCTCTGTGTGGCAGGGCACCTTTGGTGCCTTCTGCTTTAAGGGCTTGAGCAAGCAGCAGAGCAGCCTGCAGGTGACTGCAGTGCCAGTCAGGGAGGGGGTCGTATGGTCATCAGGAGGCTGCCTGATTGGAGGAGGGTCTGGCTGCTGGAGAATAAGAGCAGGCTCTGAGCAGTAGAGCTGGCAGTTGCTGCAGGGAGCCAGAGAGATAGCATCGCTGTCCAGAGCTGCTGCTCCCAGAACAGCTGAAGGCTCAGGGTAGGAACTACTGGGATGGGAGGAGGTTCCTGGTCATGGGACATGACCTAAAACTACACCCTGTTGGGGAGGATGGTGCAGTGGGGCTGCTTGTGGCAGGGCAGTCTCCAGGAAATGTTACATCTGTGCCTCCCCAGTGAACTGCACAGGGTGCTGGAAAGCCTCAGCCCTCACTGCCTTGCGGGTGACCCTGTGGAGGGGAAGGGCTAGGGGAACACATCCCGACAGAAAAGCACAGGACAGGAGGATTGCACGTGGGCTGGCTGGAGTAGCTGGAGTCGAGGCCCCAGAGAGGGGGCAAGAGGCTCAAGCACATCTGAGGACACCCAAGGCCAAGTTGGGACAGAGGCCGAGTGCACCCTGGTTAAGGGGTTGTGGGAGTAATAGTGGGTAGTGATTTGGATGCCATCTGCGAGGCATGGGACACAGTAAAGGGGAGGATCGGAGCTGTGTATTGCACCCTTGGCATCAGGGCATTAAGTGGGCAGCCTCTCGCATTGTTACATCTGGTTATTACATCAAAGCGTGGCAGGTGAATCAGGTGGCAGGTGCCCTAGACAGGTGGGTGGGCTGACATTGTGACCGGCCCTGGGATGGCCCCCTGTCACACTATGATATGAAATAGATCATCTAATAAAATTAATTACCCATATCACATCCTTCACACTCATGAAGTGCAGAGTAATGGGTAGAATGAAATCTCTCCCATATATGAATTAGATCTGGTATCGGTCAGCACTGTTATATAAGTAACATATAAGTCATCGCTTGTTGAGGATAAACTGACAAGCACCCAAATTACTATTCAGTCTCTGGTGAAGTGACTTCCCTTTGTTCAAGGTTAAAGACTGACTTGTGCAACTTGCATTTATCTGAACAAGCAAATCTTTCATATATTGAGTGCATTTTTCCATCCCTGTCACACTAGAGACCAGTAGTAAATCAGCAATGCCTTTTTGTCGCACCTAACTCCCTTTACTGTCTAGGCTGCAGATCCAGTTAAAGATGAATTGCCCACAAGATACCTCTTTCAAGCCTGCTATTGAAATCTTGCACTGAATTTGTCGTTCCTATTGAAAGGCACTTTCAGAAGATGCATTCCAGTGTTTTACTACGGTGCTTATCACTGTAGGTTGTGCCTCCCAGCCACTGATAGATTTATCCTTATTGTAAAAATAAAGAATTAAAGCATAAAACGTGATTTGCCCAGTTCAGACAGGAAGTCTGTGGAAGAACCAGGAATGGGGGACACACTTCTGGAGTCCCAGTCAAATGCCTGAATTATTAACCATTACTATCTTCCTTCCTTTGCTGTATGGTGCTTAGTGGGCATAAGATTAACCTTGTCTGAGGGCAAGGGCTGGTTTGGTTGGTTGCTTGCAAGACTCCTTGCACTTGAGTCTCTGGCAGGATCTGGTGGAGAGGCAGCACTGATTGCTTTGTGAATGTGCTTTCCCCTCCTGCAGACGGGGAAGTACGTTCATCCTCATGCCCCTAGATCTCTGGAGAGCACTTGGTGTAGTCCATTACTGAATCCTTCCATCTAGCAGTATCCTGAAATGGCTTCCTGAGCTGGAACTCATACAAACGTTAGATCAATTTGTTCCTCCACTGCCAGGCATCTAATTGGTGGAGATCTTACAAGGGATTAACTCTTTGCCCTTTGCTGTTTAGCATTTTTTGTCAGAGACACAGAAGAAAACATCAAATCATCACGATCAAATTTGCAGAAAACACAGTGGGGGCAGTGGCAAATAATGGATGGGGGAAGGGGGTCAATGAGGCAGAGTGACCTGCCTCACTAGGTAAGCTGGGTGCAAGGAAACAGAGTGCATTTTAATATGGCTAAATATAAAGTAATGCATTTAAGAACAGGGGAGACCTCTCTTAGGATGCTTGGTGGATAATCAACTGAACCCAAGGTCCTGGTGCAATGCTATGGCTAAGGTTAAGCATCTCCTTGGATGTATAAATAAGAAAATACCGAGGAGTAGAGGGGTTATATTGCCTCTGATATTTGGCACTGCTCAGTTGTTTTCAAGCATTCGAGAAGGATGTTGAAAATTGGAGAGGGCTCAGAGAAAGGCCATGAGAATGATTAATGGGTTGGAGAAGATGCCTTTTAATGACGGGCTTCAGGAGCTCAGTGTGTTCAGTTTAACAAAAAGAAAGGATGATTTGATCATGGTCTGTAAGCACCTACCTGGGAATGAGAATTTTGTTGTAAAGGGCTTTTCAGTTGGGCTGACAAAGGTAGAAGAAGATCCAGTGGCAGAAAGGTGAAACCAGACAAATTCAGATTAGACATAACATGCAAGGTTTTAAAAGTAGATGTAATTAATCATTGGGATAACTTAACAAGGACTATGGTGCATTCTCCTTTTTGAATCCTTAACTGTTTAAATCAAGATTAGGTATTTTTTCCTGAACATGTGCCCTTAGATTGAAATGGGGTTTCATTCAGGCAAGTCCTACAGCCTGTCTTGTGCCGAATGTGCAATTAGATGATCGCAATGGTCCCTTTTGATCTTTAAAATCTCTCTTAGCTTTCTGAGATGAGCAAGTGGCTGGCACTGAATCCAGACAGGCATGTGCTGAGGGTGATGGGAAGTGTGAAGTGGTTACAAGAGCTTGCCTTCGCAGCCCTGGTACAGTTTCCCGTCATGGTCAGACACTACGATGCTGTACTGGACTCAAGCTGTCGATCCCATTTGTCCAGACCCAGTTGGCTTAAAGGCAGTATCCAGAAAATGTCTTTTCTTCCACCCGTCCAACCCTTATCTAGTACCCCCTTACTGAGACCCCATG